CGACCTCCCAGGCCTTGATGTTAGTCTTTCGTTTTACCGTCAGAACCGAGCTGAACCCATGGGTCCAGGCATCCAAGTTGATTATTACCCATTCTACGAACCTCAGAGAGCTCCCGCCTCCTGAGAGTCTTGTGTTCGGCCAGGTGAGTAGAATGCAAATGCCAGCTAATACGCCTACCGAGTATCCAAAGACTATGACAGATCATATGCTCATTGTAAACTACAGCCCCGAGACTGGATGGTCCATTCCCGTCATTAAGCCCTATGCTCCTCTCGAGCTTGACCCAGCTTGTTCAGGTGATTATGGCCTGGATGTCTCGGATGGGAGCCAACTAACGCTTCTGTAGTGTTCCATTATACCCCAGCGCTTTTCGAGGGTATGAAAGTGAGTTTAATACCTTTCTAACATCTCCATTTTTGTTGATCGCCTGTAGGCGTTTCTCGACCCGGCCGGCCAACCTAGGCTCTTTCGACCGGACTTGAACATGCATCGGATGTCCACGTCAGCGGACCGCGTTGCCCTGCCTGTACGTTTTGCCTTCCGATTAGTGCATACAATAAATGACGTGACGTGGAACAGCACTTTGACGCTAATGAACTTTTGAAGATGATTAAGAAATTGGTACAGCTGGAGAAACGATGGATACCCAAGCTGGAGGGGTACAGCTTGTATATTCGCCCGACTATGATTGGGACACGGCCTGGTAAGTGGTAATTGTCCCTTGGTGCAAATTCGGAATCTTACCCGAACTTCCAGCAATTGGCGTGGCGGCATCGACGCATGCGTGTTTATATGTTATTTGTTCCCCAACTGGTCCATACTTTCCGACTGGGTACAAGCCCATCAGTTTATGGGCAGAACAAGACGCGGTTCGCTCCTGGCCAGGAGGAACAGGCGCATACAAGGTATGATGCATTCTGTAAGACTGTAGAATTAGCTAAGCCATTCTGCTCTCAGCTCGGAATCAACTATGCACCGTGTTTCAAACCCCAACGCGAGGCAGCGAAGAAAGGATACCAGCAAATCCTATGGATCTTGGGCGAAAGCCAGTGGGTAAAAATGTCTTGAGGTTGGCGCATATAGCTGACCATAAGATATAGGCAAATCACCGAGGCCGGGCAGATGAACTTTTTTGTCGTGTTCAGACGAGATGATGGTGGTATGTATGCGACTCTAATTACTCAGCGTTCTGCATTAATCTATCGAGCAGGTTTTGATGCAATCACACCCGCTCTAGATGGCACAATTCTCCCTGGCGTGACCCGCAACTCGGTGCTTGGGCTCATCAACTCGCCTTCATCCCCTATTGCCAATTTTATTGCAGTGCATGGGCTACGATCGGAAGAGCGCACAGTCACACTTCATGAAGTCAAGGAGATGGCAGAAAAAGGACGGTTAATCGAAGTCTTTGGGGTCGGGACAGCCGCAATCATCTGTCCTATCGGACAAATTGGGTATCAAGGCAAGTCGGCCGAATCAGATGCGATATTAAATATCGAGGTACCGGCGTACAAGAGTGGATTGGGACCTGTTGCAAGTACACTTTTGGAAAGCATCGTGGCTATCCAAGAAGGCAGAGTCGACTTTGAGGGGTGGAGTGTGCCATGTGCATAGAATAGAGCACACTGTGGATATTGCATTTTGGGTACAAGATAATGCAATTTTCTTTTCTGGTTACGCAAGAACCATATTCTAGTCGAGCATAGCTACAGTGGTCCTTCAATTTGGCTGAATGTATGCAAAAGCTGAATGACGACCGACTGGGAATTGAATCCAGACTTTAAAGGCCCTGTATAAACGAACTTAAATGTAGATGTTATAGGTTTGGGCTCGTTTCTAGTGTCCTTTTCATGTCCCTACATACACTGCGTGCACACGGTGATATATATTTTGGGTGGTTCGCTTGGAGAAGTGTGCACGTGACCATCCCGCATCCCGCTTCAACGTCTGCCCTCTGCAAGCCCCGCCGCCCACAGAAATTCTGTGAAATTATACTTATTGGACACGCTTGGCGTCCCTTTTTAAATGGGAGGGGCACAAGTTCATTTGTGGTGTATGGTGGTAAAAAGTAGTTTCAGTGGCAACTGACTGCTTGATTGAAAAACCGTGAGTTCTCGAGCAGTTGGACCAAGTTCAGGAGCAATAAAAAGAAGGCCCCAGCTGGGAATTGAACCCAGGACCTCACCCAGATTAAGTAAGCACGGGTTCAATTCCCAGCTCACGGGATTAACTCCCGAAGGGCGAATCATACTACTAAACCACTGAGGCTTGAATATTTGCAATACTTAGAACGCCAAATGCCCATGAGAGGTTAGCCAGTGCTAAAAAAGAGGTTTAGCCTTGGGTTGCGCTTTGAAAACGACGCATATAGCCGCCTTGGTCCGGCTCAGCGTACCGAAACCTGAGGGTACTGCTCGTCCACTGGCCTGAATTGGTAACCTGCGTCTTGCACACAGAGTGGGTGACTACGCTCCGTGGCTCACATATGACTGATTACTCTGATATAATTGAAAAAATATACGCAGGACTACAAACACAAGCTGGAAGGGTAATTTATGAGGTCAGGGGGACTAAATGCAGAGGGGTGTTTTTCAAGTGCCAAATTTGCCAAGGTTAGAAAGCCTGTAGTCCCACGGGTTGATCTCGTTCAAACTCTGATACAGTCGAGAAAATCGGATCCATATCTATCAATTGACCAAATTCTATGCTGTGCAATCGAGACTTAAAACCACAGCTTTTCTTCACGTCCCCCCTGCTATACGCGCACACGCACACCTATGCCAGCCCGGTGCATTGCCGAGACGCTGGATATTGCCGGCGATTGCTTCAGAATACCTCGCAGAGTAGTGCTACTACCCAAAGCGACGCTAAGATTTTCATTCGTTTTACAGGGGCTAGGCGCAATGCGAACAAGGTGATCCA